AGAGAGAGAGAGAGAGAGAGAGAGAGAGAGAGAGAGAGAGAGAGAGAGAGAGAGAGAGAGAGAGAGAGTGGGAAGGAAGAGAGGGAGGAGTGTGAGAAGGAGTCGGTGGGACAATGATAACTTGGAGATACGGAGTCGGTGTTGACAGTGTGTGATGATAGGGCTGTGGCTTCTGACGCTATCTATGGACACGGTTTCTGAACTGCGCGGTTTCATAAATTGGTTTCTCGCCTCTCAACTGCGGTCTCTAGGTTAGGTTAGGTTAGGTTTGGTTAGGTCAAGTCAACGTGGTGATGCCTGGCTAGTGGTTAAGGTCGCTATATAGGTCAAAGGTCATTCGATGTTTATTCATAAGATGTGTTTATACTGGGAGCTCTTGATACCTTAGTAAAGTTAGCTGAGGAGGTGTTGGCGGCCCTCACACGTGTCAGGTGATGGACGAGTGTAAATAATTGATCCTAAGGTTACCTCTGTGTGTGTGTGTGTGTGTACCTATCTATCTTTTTGTTCATTTGCATTCCTCTCTCCATGCTAGACATCATTAATCAATATATTTTACTACCTATTTACCTATCTTCATTTCTCTATTCATCTCTCTCTCTCTCTCTCTCTCTCTCTCTCTCTCTCTCTCTCTCTCTCTCTCTTAAGGCCAAGACAAGAGTTATCACGGGAAAAACCTTATAACCCCCTGTCTCCTTCCTTAACGATATTGACTCTGGGAAAAACAAAAACAAAGATATTCAGTATGTGATTCTCAGTTTCTCGTAAGATTAATTTTGTTATCTTAATTACACGAGTGTCTATGATAACTTATGAGATCTTAAGTTATTTTCTTATCTTAATTACATGAGAACGTTTATGCTAATTTACAGGATTCAAAGGTGCTTTTTTTTTTACCCCTAACTCCTATAGAAACGAGAACGCATCTATCTTACTAAAAAGTTAAGATATTCGTAAACACAAAGATGGAGGCGTCTTCAGTTAAATTCTCCTCCTCCTAACTAAATTATATGAGAACGTGTCTAACTAACTTATTTTTGGTTTGGTTAAGTTAGGTTAGGTTAGGCTAAGTTAGTTATCCCTAAATCGTTAAACACACCAGCACCATAACGTAATCCTCTGCTATAAAAGGCGGTTAACTTTATGACATCGGAACGCCATGGACGATAAGGTTAAAGCACCGATAACCGACAAAGGAGTTTTCTCGACGCCAATTCGTTTAATGTTCGGATATTGTAACGTTATCCTCTGAGACCTAGACTATAACCGATAGACGATAGGTTGAGGGAATCTGAGGGGGAATTGAGTTTGTGTTTAGACTACAAAGAGAGAGAGAGAGAGAGAGAGAGAGAGAGAGAGAGAGAGAGAGAGAGAGAGAGAGTTATAACCTAATATTTATACTATACATTCACTCCCCATGTCCACATTTACCCCTAAAATTTAAAAATAAGGTGAAGATAATGCAATAACCGGAAGTAATTAACATAATGTGTATTTTTTACTAATTAATGTAAATGTTCATAACGTGTATAATTTTTTTTTTTCTTTTTTTTGGTGACCCACTTGTGTGAAATAACAATAAAGTTGTTTGGGAGCTTAAAAATATAATCAATGGATTTATTTTGATCGATCTATCTATCTATCTATCTATCTATCTATCTATCTATCTGTCTTTCTGTCTGTCTCCTTCCTTTGTCTTATCCTTCTTCTTCGCCGTTATTACTCTCTGGTCGTTACCTTCTTCCCCCTCTGCGATAGAGTTCCTTCCCCCTTCTGAGGCAATAATCGTCTCCTGCTCTTCTTCCTTTTATCACCGTCTTTCTCTCCCCACTTCTTTCGCCATTTCTAGTTTATTTCTTTTTTCTTCTTCCTTCGTTTAGTGTTCTTTCTTCATTCTTTCTTGTTCATCTGTTTCCTCTATCTATCTATCTATCTATCTATCTATCTATCTATCTATCTATCTCTTCTCCTCCCCGATTTGTGAGGTGGAGTGGATGAAAGAGACAAGAGATAGGAGATACAGAATAAAGAGAGATAGAGAGATAAGAAACATGAAAGAATCTCCCGAGTCAATTTGTTTGTGTTTATAATTCCTAAACTGTTAAGGTTAGGTTAGGTTAGGTTAGGTTAGGTTAGCACTGGTGAGACTCCACATGTCTAACAAGAGACGCGAGTTTGGTTTTGTTCAACAGGAAATTACAGTTTATATCTGTCTGTATATCACTCTGCTTGTCTCTGTTTTACGTCAGTCTTTCTATACATATCTCCTCGTAAATCGTCTCTTACTGGCACACACACACACACACACACACACACACACACACACACACACACACACACACACACACACACACACACACACACACACACACACACACCCCACACACCCACACACACACTAACCTTGAAAGTAAGATCCAAATTTATCAAACTTGCAAGTCTCAGGTCAAACTTTCTCAGGTGAAATTCCCCCGAAGAAGTTTAAGTAATTAGCACACAGGTTAATTAAGCTTTTCATTACCTACGTTAATATTTTTCGTCTATCTTGTTATTTACTCACTGAGGTCAAATAAATGAGAAATAAGATAAGTTAAAAGAGTTATTCGCCTTTGTTCATTTATTTTTATTGATATCACGTTGGTTAGGTTAGGTTTTAGCATTAGGATAGATTAGGTTAGAGTTAGGTTAGATTAAAGTTAGGTTAGCGTTAGGTGAGGTAAGGCAAGGTTAAGTTAGATTTAGCTTAGTTTAGGTAAGCTTTAGATTAGGTTAGTGTTTTATCAGCGTTAGGACTGATAAGGTTAGGTTAGGTAACGTAATGAAAGGTAAGGTTAAGTTAGGTTTGGTAAGATTAATTTATGTTAGATTAGCGTTAGTTTTGGTAAGGTTAGGTTAGGTTAACGTTAGGTAAGTTTAGGTTAGGTTAACGTTAGGTAAGGTTAGGTTAAGTTAACGTTAGGTAAGGTTAGGTTAGGTTAGGTTAGGTTAATTCTAATGTGAAATAAGCCGAGGGATTCTTCAAGTGATTCTATTATTCTGGTATAATAACAAACTCTCCGGTTGTGTTTGAGTTCATTGTTTATTCTACCTTGTTTGTGTTTGTCTGTCGTGTATATGTGTTATTTATGCGTTTGTGAAGAATGTATAGACGTTTAAAAGTATTTCCCTTGTGTGTTTGTTAAGCATTTGTGTTATTGTTAGTGCGTTTGTTGAAAATTCATATAAACTGAAAAGTGTTTGGCATGTGTGTGTGTGTGTGTGTGTGTGTGTGTGTGTGTGTGTGTGTGTGTTTGTAGAGCATTTGTCTTGTTATGAGTGTATCTGTTTGGCGTTCATAAACGTTACAATATGTCTGTCGTGTGTGTTTGTTTATTGTTGTTGAGGAGGCAAGATGTCCTCGGCAATTACATGAGGCAATTTAGGGCCTCGACTCGTGTGTGGGTTTTGATGAGGGAAGGAGGGATGGAAGGTGAGAGAAGGGTATAAGGAGAATGGATAGAGAGAGAGGTGGAGGAAAGAATCGGGAGAGAGAGGAAGGGAGAGGACGAGGAGGTAAGGATGTAATGAGAGAGAGAGAGAGAGAGAGAGAGAGAGAGAGAGAGAGAGAGAGGGAGGAGAGAGAGAGAGAGAGAGAGAGAGAGAGAGAGAGAGTGAAAAGGAAGGTGTGGTTAGAGATGAGAGAGAGAGAGAGAGAGAGAGAGAGAGAGAGAGAGAGAGAGAGAGAGAGAGAGAGAGAGAGAGAGACAATGCACACTCACTTTTCCTGGAACAATATACATCCTTTGTTTACGATTACATTTGTGACGTCATGGAACCGCCTCCGTTTCTGTTTACATCTATGACGTCATGGAGCGTTGTTTGTTTGCTGACGTATAAATTTGTGTTGACTCGATCATTAACATTTACTCAAAACGTCGAGGAACTTCAAAGACATTTACAAATTAAGGATTTATTTCAGGGGCTCGTAGGCAGAACTGACATAAGGATCTTTGAGAATCCTTCCCCCGAGACCTGAATTTTCAAGGGTTCGTGTGTTAACTATGGAGGTTTACGGTAACTGGATGACTCTTATTAGGCAATATATCAGGGAAGTTATTTATCTTAAGATACGAATCCTTGTGATACAGGACCTATTGAGACTTCCATAAGCCATGAAGTGAAGAGATAAGACCTAACCTAACCTATCCTAACCAATCCTAACCTAACCTAACCTATCCTGACCAATCCTGACCAATCCTAACCTAACCTATCCTAACGTATCCCAAATCTACTCTTAGACCCTAAACAGTAATCAACTTCATTTGGCCAAAGCAGCGGTTTCAGTATGGAAATTCGAATCCGATTTCGGGGGGGGGGAGGTTTATTTCGCCCCTCGCTCGACCGTCAGCTGTTTGAGAGAGAGTATTGAGCTGAGGGTCACGTTAGGGGTGTGCCGGCCGCTGCAGTATCAAGGGGCAGGGGGTGGGAGGAAGGGGTGGGTGAGGGAGGGATGGGGGAGCAAGTATGGGGAGGAGGGGAGGAGAGTGGGTGAATGCCGGGCGGGAAAGTCTAGAGATGAGAGGGGAAAGAGAGGGGCGGGGAGGAAGGGCGTATGTGTGAGTGAGGGTGTTAAATGGAAGGGTGGGGTGTCGGAAGGGGGTGGGGAGGAGAGGAGGAGGGGAGATATAGGGGTGTGTGAAGAAAGGCGAGTGTTAGAGAAGGGAGGGGAGGGGAGGGTAGGGGAGCTGGCTCAGTCTAGCTCGCTGTTGCTGTGGTCCACACAGCCCGGGAAATGTTTGTTGACATTCGTGACGTCAAGGCGCGTCACTCCTTTGTTTATGCTTTCTATCAATGACGTCATAGAGCCTCACGCATTGGCTTTCGTTTACATATTAAAAGCTTTACAACGTTATTTTACTGATCCCCTTTTTTGCTTTTCTCTTTTTGTTCATTTTTATTATCCACTTGTCTGAGCTTTTGCACGTTTTGTTGACTATATATTCTTAATAATTACTTTTCAGGAAGCTATATTTTTTGTGAATAAATATACAGGGTAATATTATCACTGGAACCTCAGAACTTTAAAACTTTATGAAACCGAGGAGAATATCACAGAAATACTGAAGATATTAGTAAATCAGAAAAACATTGAAAAAGAAAACGAAAAACGAAAGGAACGTAACTTACTGAGAACAAAACAGAAGTGCCAACTCAAAAGTGACAGTGATAATAACGTAAAGGAAACACGTGGTAACAAGAAGCTAAGCCACTACCAGAACGATCCAACTTCAACATCATCTACCTGGAGCTTCACTTCCTATCACCTCTCACCACCCTGCAATAACCCGAGCAGGAATATATCTTTTAGTCCCACCTTTTATCCCACTACTAAGAATATACCTCCCTGTCTCTCACTCCCGTTCCCTCATCAAGATATTAATAATAGAATATTCTGTTATAATTTATCTTTCTTCCCTCCCTACATACACAGCTGGAGGGTAGATAGGTGGGGAGATACATAGATCATCCCTTCAGGTGTTGGTAGACGCTAGATAAACTTTCTATATACAGTATATTCGACACCCTTCTCTCCTTCTCTCCCTATCTCCAGCTGTTGTTGTTGTTTTCTTTTCTCCCACCGAGGCAACACTGTGCACTCTTTACTACAGGGTCTACATCTTCTACCACAGTAACACCAGCAACACTCCTACTCATTCTACCTCACCACGGCAACACTCATTTTCCCCCTCCCCTCCTCAACACCCACACCAATATACCCTTATTTTTGTTCCTCCCTGTTCATCATCTCCCTCCATCTATCTTCTTCCATCTATCTTCCTCCATCAAACCTCAATCCTCCTCCATAGTAACCTCTCCAATACCTTCCCTGGCAATATATCCCCTTGAAAAAATCACTCACCTCCCCTCCTAGCCAGCGACACCTCTCCCCAACACCCACTCTTTTTCTTCCCATTCAACGCCCCACTCCCCTCCCTCCCCCCGTCCATCACCTCCTCTCTCCCCATGTACAAAAAAATGTCCCCTCCCCCATTAGCCGTATAGGAGGTGCCCACCCACCCCCCACAACACCCCCCCTCAAGGCCAGTGGTCAGACATGAGAGCTCTGATCAAACACAACCCCAAGATGGATCACTTGAAGGTGAGTCTCTCTGCCTCTTCTGTTTCTTGATGACGTAATAACTATGACCTCGGTTGACCCTTCATATGGGCCGTTGTTACTTGGGTCCGATTTTAATGGGCCCTACTCTCCATTAACTTCCCCTTTCCCCCTCCCCAGTTTAAAAGGATCCCAAGGATTTTTTAGCCTACAGTAAGTCCTAAAAAAGCCTATGTCCGATTCATAATGGGTTTCAATTCTATTCAGCCCTAGTCCAAAGGGTTAGATTGTGATAGGTTCTAATAGGCCCTCTTTTTTATGATTGGGTTAGGTTAGGTTTGGTTGGTTTAAGTCTGGTTAAGTTTGGTTGGGTTAAGTCTGGTTAGGTTAAATTTGTTCACGCTAAATTAGGTTAGATTATGTTTGGTCAGGTCAGGTTGGGTTGGTTTAGTTCAGGTTAGGTCATGTTACGTAAAGTCAGACTAGGTTAGGATAGGTCAGATTAGGATAGGCTAGCTTGAGGTCTATTAGAAACTGAAGTCCATCTGACCAGCAAGTGCGCCGCAAGAGAGTGCCACTGCAGACGGAAGGCGGGCGAAGGTTCGTTCGGCATAGCTTCTTTAAGAGTGTCAGCGTTGTTGATTGGTCCTGGGGTGCCATTACTGTAGTGTCTGGCCCTCAGTCCCTCCACGTACACTTACTGCCTTGTTTACCTGTGTGTGTGTGTGTCTGTCTGTCTGTCTGTCTGTCTGTCTATCTATCTGTCTGTTCACTTTTTTCACGTCTGTCTGTCTTTCCGTCCGCTTGTTTTGTTCGCCTCTGTGTATCCGTCTGTGTCTGTCTATCTTGTTTATTTATTGTGTGTCTGTCTCTATGTCTGTCTGTCTGTGTGTGGGAGGAGCAGGTAGAGGTGAGTCTTGTTTAATTTAAGTGACTGTGGGCAGTTAATCCAAACCAAATATAACATGAGAGACACAGAAGTTATATTTAAAGAGAGAGAGAGAGAGAGAGAGAGAGAGAGAGAGAGAGAGAGAGAGAGAGAGAAAATCATCACTCCACTAAAGAATAATTTACAACAATCCTCTACATAAACACGAGACACTGAGGAGAATTTACAAAACTATCAACAAATCCACTAAATGATCCACAAAAACATCAACACATCCACATAAAAACGTCAACACATCCACAAAAAAACGTCAACATATCCACACAAAAAGGTCAACATATCCACACAAAAACGTAACATATCCACAAAAAACGTCAACATATCCACACAAAAACGTCAACATATCCACTAAATGATCCACAAAAACATCAACACATCCACACAAAAACATCAACATATGCAGGTACCAGAACGTCTCCACGGGCCACAGGGTCAATGAACTGTTTACCCACTAAATTACAGCAGTATCTGTTTGATCCTTCTATATTGTTACCTCTCTGTCTCTGTGTGTGTGTGTGTGTGTGTGTGTATGTGTGTGTGTGTGTGTGTGTGTGTGTGTGTGTGTGTGTGTGTGTGTGTGTGTGTGTGTATGTGTGTGTGTGTGTTTTTGTTGTTGTCACGCACCACCACAAACACATTGATTGCTGCTACTGAGGGAGGGAGGGAGGGAGGAATAGAGGGACTGAGGATGAATAGAGGGGAGGGAGGGAAGGAGGGAGTTAGGGAAGGAGGGAGGGTGGTGAGTGCGAGGGGAAGAAGGGAAGGAGGAGGGAAGGAGGGAGGAGGGAAGGAGTATGGGATTAGACCACCACTCTGATTGAAGGAGACAAGCTGCTTTAATAAGAGAGAGAGAGAGAGAGAGAGAGAGAGAGAGAGAGAGAGAGAGAGAGAGAGAGGTAAGAGACTCATCTATCTCTACTCATTCAAGACAGCGAAGGAGAGAAAGGGCAAAGAGAAATAGAGAGTGAAGGAGGGGGGAAGGGACGAATGAAGTGTAGAGGAAAAGGGAAGAAAGGGAGGGCAGTAGAAGGGAGAAAAGGAGGGAAGAAAAGGAAGGAAAATAAGGAGATAGAGAAGGAGGAAAGGAGACAGGGGGAAAGGTGAGGTGCAAATGGAAAGAAAAGGGGGGGGACTGATGTGATGGAGAATGAGAAAGGGGGGAAGAAAGGGAGGGAAGTTGAGAGGAAGAGAGGAAAGGGAGGAGGGAAGAACTGGCGAAGGGGGGAAGGATGAGGAAAGAGAGAGAAGGACTGAGGTAAAGAAGATTGAGTGAGAAAGTGAGGGAATGAGGGAGGAAGATAAGGAGCGAAGGTGAGAGGAAGGAGGGAGGGAGGGAGGGAGGGTTGCGGATCGAATTTAGACGCTCCCTGAGTAGATTGAACGACCATAATTCACTGTAACGAGGCGAGGAAGCCGCTGATCGGTCGCTGAGCTGTTGGGCTGTCAATATAATGAGAAGCAAGTGACACTGATATCTATCTCTCTCTCTCTCTCTCTCTCTCTCTCTCGCACATACACACATACACTTTGAAGAACGCTTTGTACTCTAATGCAATTCCAGGCTTATCTATGTGAGTTTTGAAGGGCCTCACAAGAGAGAGAGAGAGAGAGAGAGAGAGAGAGAGAGAGAGAGAGAGAGAGAGAGAGAGAGAGAGAGAGAGAGGAAACATTATTTCAGAGTGTTATTCATTTCCTCTTGTCTCGACCTCTCATCTCATACAAGTCTATCTCTCTGAATGACTTAACCTCCAGATGCTTCAAAGATCTCGTGAGATGAGTCGAAGGATCAAAGATTTCGGATCTGGTCAGCCCGTGTCTCTATGTGAACACCTCTTGGTTATTATTATTACATGTGTATGTGTTTATATGTGTGTGTGTGTATTAGACCTGAGGGCTTTAACCAGCCACCCATCACCACTTCCAGCACCATCGTCACTGACTCGTTAAATGAGGTCACTTTCCTTTTATATAATGCATCCCTGAGAGAGAGAGAGAGAGAGAGAGAGAGAGAGAGAGAGAGAGAGAGAGAGAGAGAGAGAGAGAGGGGGGGGCTTTGTATGTAGTTCATAAAATAAATGGAATGTAACTAATGATGGCGTGTTAACCATGGTCGACCTTATCTAGTATTGCCCTTCCCTTTACCAGCTCTGTTGCCCTTCCTTTCACCGTCTCTATTGCCTTTCCCTCCACTATCTCTATTGCTCTTCCTTCCACCATTTTATTGCCCTTCCTTCCACCATTTTATTGCCCTTCCTTCCACCATTTTATTGCCCTTCCTTCCACCATTTTATTGCCCTTCCTTCCACCATTTTATTGCCCTTCCCTACACCATTGCTCCTACTCTATTTTATTGACCCATTCTCTATCTTTATTGGCCCTACTCCATTCTGTTGATCCCCCCATCACCACGTGAGAGAGAGGGCCCTGATGTTATGGGGCCAAGATCCAAAGGGGCCCTCACGCTAAAGGCCCCAGATGCTAAAGGGTTCTGATTCTAAGGGACCCAGATGCTAAGGGACTGAGATCCTATACGTGATGGTTGGGTCTCTTCTACTCCACAAATTCGCCTCTAGAAAAGTTGTGCAATTCAATTATCTTAATTTTATCGACTTAATGACTTTAATAGTTTTAAACTCAATGACTTTTGAAAACTTTTAAATCGCCTTTTTTCTTCTTACTGATTTTTTTTTGTCTTTTAATTTCTGCTTTTGCCTGACGTACCATATTTAGCGTGTCTTTCTGTGATGAAGGGAAGGCTAGTCGGACGTACGTAATACCAAAGAGCGGGTCAAAGCAGACGGAATAGAGAGTTGGGGTGGCGGGAGGGTAGTGCGAAAGTCAGGCGCTACTGATTGCTTGTGTTGGCATTGTTTGTTTTGGACCAAGCGTCTCAGATGAACGTCAGCCCCAGAGACCTTGACTGAGTTATATTCATTCTCTTTTCTCTTCTTCTTCTTCTTTATCCTTTTCTATGTATTCCTTTTCTGTTCTATAAAGAGGGTCATACGTTTAGTTTTTGTCATGATTCACAAATGAAGTGAAAATGTGGCAACGAAGAAGAAGAAGATGATGATGATGATGATGATGATGATGTTGATGATGATGATTCTATAATAATAATTGTGGAAGTGATAGTTATTGATAGTTGTGGTGTGGTAGTGGTCTTGTTGGTAGTAGTAGTAGTGACAGATAGTTGCTTCAGATGATCAAGTTGATAACAGAGGTGATGAAGAAAAAAATAATGGTGGTGATAATTGTGACGATGAAAACAATAATGATATTGATGAAGGAGGTAATGGTGACGATGGCTGTGGTGGTGGTGGTGACGATGGCTGTGGTGGTGGTGGTGGTGACGATGGCTGTGGTGGTGGTGAAGATGGCTGTGGTGGCGGCGTTGGCTGTGGCCGTGGCTAACCCTTGCCTGACCTCCATCTTCTGGGACAAGCCACTTTAAGGCCTGGCTCAGCTATCCCAACTTCTAAAATTCGCGGAGATAATCTTTCAAAAAAAAAAAAAAGTTATTGCCTCGAGATAAGATTTTCAATTGTCAACTCTCACTGGTAACCCACACAGGTACAGGTACGATAAAAAGTTACCGATACAAGTGCACTACAAATCACAGGCACAGGTACGAACACAGGTACGACTTCAGGTAAGGGTAAAGGTACAGGACCTGTATACAAGCATTCCTCACTTCTTTTCTTCCATTTTTTTATCCGTCGTTTATTAAGCAATTCCTTCACTTATTTCCTCATTCCCTGGTACATCGAACTTTACCTCCCAATTATCAAACTTTATCCTCTATTTCCACTATTATTGTTCTCTCTCTCTCTTTTATTCGTTCCCTAATTCCTCGGGACATCGAATCTGCTCTTTCCATTATCGCATTTTATCATCTAATTCCGTTTTCGTTTTTCCTCTACACTTCCTTCAGTATTTATCAGTAAAATTCCTTCGTGTCTCTTCTTCTCCCGCACGCCACCTTAGTCGCATACTTGAGCACACCTAGGTATACCTGGGCATACCTGAGAATAGTTGGGCATGCCTGAGCACCCTTCGGCATATTTAAGCTTACCTGAGTATATATTTAACT